CATAAGTTTCACCAAACTCCCAAAAGTGACCATGACACGAAAAAGGTTAAGAATCTTTAGTCTGAGGATCCAGTGATAATTGTTTATAATTGTCCAGAATTTCACACTTTTTTTAGTCTAGTGATTTGTCAAGCTATTTTAAAATATTTATAATTTATATATTATTTATATTTAATATATAAATCTATTTATATTTATTTATGAATTTATATTTTAAATTTTTTCATTAATACAGTACAATTAATTGAATTAATACAAGTTCAAAAGGGTCAAATCATGATCTACCTTTAAAAACTATTATATTTTAAGTATATACATATGTTTCCCATTGCAAATGCCTGTCTGCTACCAAGGCTACAAAGAGCCATTAGCACATAATAATTGGACATCAACACAAAATTAAGTATTACATGTTTTGGTAGACTAAGTTTGAAATTTTTTAAAGAAATACACAGAAGCCTTTGCTGTTCCAGGTCTCAGTTGATAGTGTAACCACAAGGGGGCGATTAACATGATTTGAAGTTTTGAAGTTATGTCATACATAGGATAGTTGAGGAGTCAGGGACAGCTGGTCTCCAAATAAGCCCTATTGAGGCATGATAGCATCGTGGAATAGTTGACGGCCTGTCACATTGAAAAGGGAGTTTATTCTTTGTTGCTTCAGAACTCAGTCAAACATGTGAAAGTTCCCCGGAAGCAGATTTCAACGTAAGAAAAAACCACAATTTGAGTTGGTCCATTCCTGAGAAAGTTACACTGCTGGAATTGGAGGTATGAAAACCTGGATTCAAATCTCACCTCTGACAGATATTAACTATGGGACCACAAGCAAGGCCCTTCAGCTGTTCAGGCTTCAGTTTTCTTAACTGTAAAAAGAGGATAAAAAGAAGACCCATAATACCAGTCCCACAGGATTGTTGTAAGGCTCAAATGGAATAATATATGTAAAGTGTCTTGCCAACTTCAAACTCCTATAGGTCAAACACCTAAAGCTTTAGGGGACTCTCAGATGTGGTCCCATCTTCTCATCTTACAAATGAGTGAGGCCCAGGGAGAATCCTTGACTTGCCCAAGGTCACACAGGTGGTAATTAGCAGAGACAGGATTCAAACCCAAGACCAAAGCCTGGGCTCTTTCTACTGCAGCACCATCTTTCCCAATTTTAATGTTATGCTTATTATTTAAGCAAAGTCCAAATAATTACCAATCACAGATGTCATAGAAGGGACTCTTGCCCTGAAAGCATTTGGACTAACTGATCTTCAGACTCTAAGGTTCTATTATTTTATGTGTTTTCAAAGAAAACTGAAGAGTTAAAATGTAACTCTCTTCAGGAAGATTTTTTTAGTCCTTGACAACCTTTAGAGCTGAGAGGTCTATTTTAACAAGGACTCTTTGTGGACACTAGAGGTGGCAGTAGGCTCACAGACGAGTAAGCGAACCTTCCTCTGAGTCATTTGGAATAATAGCCCTACTAATCAGAGCAGAATCTGCAGCCTGAGCACACTTCTGGCAATTCTCTTGCTAGCCACATTGATTTAATAGCATGCTCCCTCTACATTTCAGCATATGTTGTTTGTTTGCTCTTTTATCTCTACACACCTTCACAGATTTTATGACCAACAGATAAGAAATGAAGAAAATTTAGCTTCCACAATGATATGACTAGAACACAAGATTATAGGATCACCTATGAATCCAGAGCTGGAAGATACCTTAGAGGCTAGCCAGTCTAACCCTCTCATTTTATAGATTAGGAAACTGAGGCCTGATGGAGATTAATTGACTTGTCTAAAGTCACACCAGTAATGAGCAACAAAGGCAGGATTTGAACCCAAGTACTCTGATTCTAGAACCAGTACTCTGGATACTTCATCTTTCTTTTTTCTTCCTTTAAAATTTACTTATTTTTAATTTATGGAATAAAACAAGCATTTTCATAACAGTATAATAAAAATATGATTGCACATGAAACTACAAATCTATTATGCATAACTTGCTATTCATTTTAAATACATAATAAAGTTATCACATAATTTTTTTTCCCTTTTCTTCGTTCCCTCTTCCCTCCCTCCTCCCTAGAGATGGCTACCATATTTTTTTTAAAGTATCTGTCCAACGGCAGCATTAGACTGCTCCTCCAGGATACCACAGACATTTGAGCTTCTTCTCCAGCAAGAAAGGCTTTCCCTTCCTCTGCACCAACACCTCTTCACACCTAAAGGCTTTATCACTCTAGTAACATTGGGAGTGACTGGTGTAACCAATTGCAAGAATTGCAGCCAACTAAATTCCCAGCCATTCCAAGGGGCAAAAGAAAAAAAGTCCCCTCCAATCTTGGTCTCAGGCCTGGATATCCTGTTTTCTGAATCAATGGCAGGTAAGCTAACTGGTCAGCAGGACCCCATGCCACAAAGGTCACAGGGACAGGAAGCCACTTGGCCCTTTTTATTACAGTTGTCACAGACTCAGGCAGGGCACACAGACCAATAGCTCCCTAAATAGGTTCCAAGCAGGGGGGCCTAGTGATTTCTCTTCAATAGATAGTACAACTCCCACGGAATGTCAGCCAGGTGTTTTCTTTTAAAGGAAATAACATAGACACAGCAATTTCCTTCTTGAGGCTCAGAGCCCACATTATAATGGAGTAATAAGTTCACATATTCTCTTGCATGAGTCACAAAGCAGTCAATCCCAAGGAAGCATTCCACGTCTAGGGACAGCAGAAGATTGGATGCTAGCAGCAACAGAGGTAAAGGCATAAAAAGAGAACAAGAAAAAATGAGGAGCAGAAAGAAATGGAGGGGGAGAAAAACTTAAAATGAGAAAAGAGGGAGGAAGAGAGATGCAAGAAATGGGGCTGGGGGGGCAACTGGGTGACACAGTAGATAAAGCTCTGGCCTTGGAGTCAGGAGGATCTGAGTTCAAATCCAACCACAGACACTTGACAGTTACTAGCTGTGTGATCCTGGGCAAGGCCCTTAACCTGATTGCCTCACCAAAAAGCAAAAAAAGAAAAAGAAAAAAGAAACAGGGTTGGCACCAAAGAATATTATATCTGCAGTGTCTTAAGAGGTAATGTGGTGCAGTACAAAATATGCTGATCTTGCAGTCGGAAAACCTAGGTTCAGATTCTGGCTCAGCCATTTGCTATGTGTGTAACCTGGGGTAAATCACTTCTTGAACCTCTCTGGGTTCAAGATCTCTCAACTGCAAAATGAAAGGGTTAGATTTGAGGATTTGTAAGGTCTCTTCCACCTCTGTATCTATGATCTTAGAAGGGACCTTAAGGATGCTCTCATCCAACTTCCTCACTTTACAAGTGAAGAAACCAATAGGAAAAACAGAGAAATAACAAGAGAGGCAAAAGGAGAAAGGAAGAGGTCAAATATAGGGCTCTTTGAGATGCTGCTGGTGTTTCCACTGGTAAATCAGAGAATAGCCCCAAGTCACTATTTGGATGGATGGGGAAAACCTGAATCTGGTCCTCAGTGTTCATCACCGGGGAAGCCTGAGATAAGAAAACATGTAGGACTTTCTGGCACCTTTAGGAAGTTAGATTCCTTAGACCTATGGATGGGACCCTAGGGTTCAGCTGGGCTAGGAGAAAGGAAGGTTATTCTCACTATACAGAATCCCCACTGCTAAACAACCATATGGGACACTCCTTCCCCCTCCTACCTTATCTCTGCTATTCCCGGAACATAAGTCCAAGTACGGGCAAATTTCAAGTTAAGGCCCAAGAGGGCAAGTGCCATGGTGGTGACATACCCAGAATTTCTCCATCCCCATCTTCACAACTTTTTCCTCTATATTTGACTTGGTTAGCAGGCATTCAGCAACAATGGCATATACTTTTAAGAGAGTGGACAGGTAGCTTGCAACTTCTGAATTCTCTTTGGGAATCTGTTAGGCTTCTGCACGAAGATAACCGACCCTAACCCCTCTCAGCCTTCATCCTACACCCTCTCCCTCCTTCCCTCCCTGAGACGGGTAGAGAGTTTAGCCCAAGGCTTACTCCACCACTTCTTTGTTTAAACCCCAGTGACTTGGGACTATTACTGCCTCTCAAGTCTTCCTGTGTGTGACTGGATCAAGCAATCTAATCTCCCTGTGGGGAAGACAAGCTACTGTCAGCTGGGGTCATATATGGCCCTGAGAAAGCTGTCTCTTTCCTGGCATATCTCTCACTGAAAAAATGAGAACAGAAATATAAATCTTTGTCACTTTTTTCCCTAGATGAAATAAGCAGGAGTCAAGCTTGTCAAATGTTTCTTGGTATATGGGACATGTGCAGTTGGGAGGGCAGAGCTCAACAGAGGCCTATGGAAAGAAAGAGAATATTTTATAATCAAGACACACCAATCTCAGAAAATCACAAGAGGGCGAGGCCAGACTGCATCCCCAGCTCCATAGGGAGGAGCAAAGGGTCTTAATGGGCAGGCAATCTATGCTGAAACTATGGCATTTGAGGCCCAGGCTGAGAATGGGGGTGGAAAGGGGAGGGAAGCCCGCACGTGGGCCAGAAGGAGCAGGAAGGAAACGAAGCCCAGAGATGTGGCCTGGGCTTGGACCTGAGGCCTCTGAGAGTGACACACAGTGGTTTCCTGACCTGCTCCACTCACTAGCAGCCATATTTGTTCCCCCCAATCTTGGGATTTGTCCCTTAACTGGATAGGGGATGTAGGAAGGCCCCTGACCAGTCAGCCTGGTCCAGTATGGTCCTAGGGGACAAACTAGAACACTTGGGGCCCAGGTCCTGCCTCCCAGACAGAAATATAGAGTATCTTTGGGGACATCTGCTCTATTTGTGGGAAGGTGGGCAAAACACTCAAAATGAAGTAAAAGCAGGGTTCAGGACCCTCAAGAATGTCACCCTCTGTTTCTCCGGACCCTCCATGGGGTTTCTGTGTGCAGGATTTCTACAGAAGATAGACCATTTTGTTAAGCCTTTGAATATTCAAATTGAAAGTATCGCGCAATCATTGATTGTCAAATCATGGGTTTCTAGAGGTTTTAAATACTTGGCATGAGGGGGGGAAAACTCAAACCTATACCCGAAGGTATAAAACATTAATTCGGTTTGTCTCCAGCTCCAGGGGGGCCAGTGCAGCCAGAGGGTTTGTGAAACTTTAAAAATGTTGCATCTTCTCTCCCAGCACAGGAGCCTGCCTCGAAGCTGAGTTTCCTGCAGCTGCAGCATCCAGCCACAGTCCCAGCTGATTCCACAGGATGTCGGGTAACCTGGGGCTGCTGCTCTGGGGGACAAGATCGAGGGGGACTGGGGTGCTGGGACCCCCGCCACATTTCGCTGGTTTTGCCTGGGCAGGACAGAAAGGGAGAAAGTAGTCAGTGTGTGTCAGAGAGAGCTGGGGAATAAGAAGGTCATGCATGCCTTGTGCCGGGGGCACTCTCCCGGGGCGCCCACTCTTGGGGGCCGGCTTAAGGGGGGGGGCTATCGAAACACTACTCTGGTTCAGGACCTCTGCGCCCCCACCACACTCCCTCCCCTGAGATTCTCCTGGCTTGTTCCCCGGGGACTTTCCGGCTCCAGACCTGCTTGCCCAGAACCTGCGGCGGGGGGGAGCTAGAGATTCGCCGCGCAGAGCAGCGCAGCCCGAGCAGAGCTGAGCTGAGCTGAGCTGAGCGGAGCAATGAGCCAGGACTCCCCTCTGGCAGTCCCCCCTTGCCTCGCCACGAAGTGCTGGCTGATCCCGGGGGAGCCGGCCCGAGCGGAGGAGGGCAGCGCAGGGAAGGGAAGGGAAGGGAAGGGAGACAGGTATAGGGCCAGAGAGTGGGTAGCAATCAGCAGCCCTGGAGCCTTCATCCATTCCTCCAGTCAGCGGTCCCCTTTTCCCCCTTCTTGGGGCAGCGCCCCAGTGCCCGTCGCGGGACGAACGTGGGGGTCCGCATTGTCTAACTGTGGTCCCCGCAATGACCAGGCGAGGCGCTGCCGGCCCGTGCGCCCTAGCCAGGTGGCCAAAGCGCGGCCCGCTCAGGAGCCCAGAGGCCCCTGGAGCCCGGTCCTTCCTACTGCCCAAGAGTTCCCAAAGGGAAGCAGGGACCCATGGCCCCACAGCTAGGCCACCCCTTCGTCCACCTTGCCTCTTCCCGCCCAGCCACAGAGTCCGACTACTCACTGCGGCGGCGGCTTGGACTCTGGCTTCCGCGGGGCCCCGGCTCTTTCCACTCTGCAGAGGGCACGGGCTTGGTCCCAGCTCCTGCCTTCCTCGGCGCACGGCTCCCAAACTCTGTCCCCGCCGCTCCCTGCGCCCAAACTAGGAGACTGACACCTGCCCGAGGCCCGCGGTCCTCTTGGGCCACAGCAGGGACTCAGGTCCGCGGAGCTCGCCTCTAGGCTCCCGGGCGCCGTGGAGGTGACAGCGGCAGAGACAAGCCTGCAAGAGGAAGGAAGGGGGAGGAAGAAAGGGCAAGAAGACAAGGGGGAGAAAGGATAAGGAGGGAGGAGGAAGAGTCGAAGAGCTGGGAAGGCAGAGGGGCGGCATAGAAGAGAGCAAAAGAAAAAAAAGATTTAAGAAAAAAGGGAAGGAAGAGTCATCAGAGGAGGGAGGGGGAGCGGGCTCACTAGGCCACCTTTGGGTGTGGGGGGGGTGTGCGCGCGCGCGCGCGCCCCTGCTCGGCCAGTTCCTAGCCGGCCTGAGGGCAGGGCTGATCTAACCCCACCTGAGTGTTGCTCTGCCCTAGGGCTGGCTTACCACAAACAGCCTAGGACAGAACTGACAGGGAGGTTGGAGACCGCCTGGACTATGCCCAGCCCCCAGGGGCAGTAGTGAACTCCAGGGTATGATACCAAAATAGGAGCATCACTCTAGGGTGAGGTCAAAGGTCAACCTCATCTGCACAGGTGCTAGGTCTCTCTTCTCTAGGTTAGTCAATATACCCCAGGGAGAAAGACAATAAGAAAGTGAACCCTAGGACTTCAGTTCTGAAAGGCTTTAGTAGGGTTCATGGTGAGACCAAACCCTCCTTGTACAGAAAATGTGGCTGGTTACAGAGTTAATTGGGGGGGGGGATGGCTGAAGACACCCATCAGCTTCTGTTTGGTTTGATTCTACTGTGGCCTACCTGATCACATTGGCTCTAGTTGCAAAAACTACCCTCCCTTTAGCCTATCTAGCCTATAAAGCACCATTTAACCTTTAACCCTTTACCTGGGGCCTTGGGGAAAATTCTCTAAACATTCAGACTTTTTTGACATCTGAAATCAAGTTTAGACTCTCCCTCCCTCTCTACCCCCAATCTCCAAATGTGACCCTTAATCGTGGAGAGGCTTTCCTGGGCTCTGATTAATGAACTTTCCCTCAGAAAAACCAAAGGTGTATCAAGGGGTCCGGGTGAAGATCACAGTGAAGGAGCTGCTGCAGCAGAGGAGGGCACACCAGGCGGCATCAGGGGGAACCGTAAGCACAAATCCTTCACTTCACTTTGAAACAGACTCCCTCCCAACACTTGTACTGTGTCATTTAACCCCATCTCGGTTCCAGTGACTGAGCATCCTCCAGCCCTGGGCCCCTGTTGCCCTTTCTTCTACAAGGATATATAGAGTTCTTCATCACTTCTCACGCTGGGTCTGCCCCACACCCTGCTGTCTGCCATATTCACCATGAGGAGGCAATAGAAAGCAACAGGAAATGTTATTCCTGTTTTCCAGGAGTTGAGCCACTACTGCTGAGCTTTAGGGTTAGTCCAGGTTCTTTACCCAACAAGTTAGTCTCCTTGAGTGAGGATGTTTGTAAGATAGTCTATGCTCATTCTCTGTCACAGGCTCTGGCCAACTAATGTTGCCAAGAAAAGCCTCTCCCAGAAACTTACCAATTTAGATTTATAGCTACAAGGGAGTATAGAAACCATCTAAGTTCAAGGGATCATAAATCAGGAGCTAGATGGAACCTTAATAGTCATCTAGTCCAAAATCCTCAGATTTTCACAGATGAGGAAATTAAGATCCATTGGTCACAGAGGGTTTAAGTGTCAAACCTGAGATCGCAATCCAGGTCCTCCGATTCCAAATCCAGCACAATTTTCACTGCACCACTCAATGTTCCTTTACTGTGTCAAGGTACAAAAGAGGAAACAGGATAAGTGGAAAGAATGTAGGTATTTAAAGTCAGACCACTTGGGTACAAATCCCATTTTGTGTCACTGTGTGACTCTGAGCATCTTAATCTCTCCGCAGTTTCCCTCTCTGCAAAATGAAAGGGTTAGATCAGATAATCTCTAAGGTTCCTTCCAGCTCTAAAACTATTATCCTAAATTCCTAAACTGTATAACTGGCCTAGAGAAAGTGAAGTGACTTGCCCAAAGTCAAGGAAATTACATAAAAGATCTAAGATTCACACCCATGTCTCCAAACCCAGAGTTCTTTCTATTAACCATCACTTCATTCAAGAACCATCCTTCAAAAATAGTACTTCACCAGTAAAAATTGTTCCCCTCTCCTCTTATTCTTCTGTTGTGTGATCTTGGAGGTCATTTACCTCTGAACCATCAGTCCTTGAGCCCTCAGGACAGGAAGAAACCTCCTTAGCTAAGTGTAGGCAGCTTAGAACATCCACAGCTTACTTCGAAAATTAAGTGGTTTAGGAAATGAGGATGGGCCTTGGTAAAAGTGTTGAGTTAGAATAGAAGAGAACTATGGCACACAGAAGCCTCAGTGGGAAATTAGCCCTAAGAGACCACTTGGTTTTTCTAAAACCACATAGGCAAACAGTGGCTTGTGGTATGTGTGGAAGGGGAGGGAGAGTGGTGTTTAGGTGGGGGGAGTTGACTGCCTGGGCTGTGGTTAGCTTAGACTGCTAGGCCCCAGTCCTCCTCTGACCTATGAACCCTTCCCAGCAAGGGCTTTGTGCTTATTCTTCTGGTTTGTTGTTATTGTTAATGTTTTTCTCTAAATGTCCAGGGGCACGGACAGCCTCGTCTGTCTCTTCCTAGACATTGGCTAATGCGAATAACAATTAAAACCAGGAGTTATCAGAAAGTGATTCTAAGAGAACCTAGACAGCATGTAAGTAATGCCCATTGGAACAGAGTTGAGTACAAGGCTTGGGTAAGAGTGAGTGCCAGGGAAATACTTGGAGAGCTTCCAGAATGCAGAGGCTCCTATGCTGTGCTGAAGTATAATTATTTAATTTGTTTTAAGGCAACACCTAACACTGGGAAGCTAATGCCTTTGTATGCAGGACCTCAGCCAACACAATAATAACACCTTTCATTGGCAGAGTGCTCACAGTTTTTTTTTTTGAAAGCATTTTCCCTTACAACAACCAGATTAGGTAGGCAGAGCAGAGATTATTATCCCCATTTTGCAGATAAGGAAACTGATGCTCATAAAGGTTAAGTGACTTGTTCAAGGTCACGGAACTAATGTACTGCATTCTAAGACCAGGGTTCTTGTTGCTATACTACCTTGAGGCTTTTTTGACCTGTCACTTCATCTGGTCTGAGTCTGTGCTAATTTTTCTGTACTGGGGAGGTGTCTGGGACATATACCTGGTTGCCATTAACATATGATGTCACTACTAGTTCACAGATGGTTGTAGAAGAAAAATTAATAAAGTAGGCAGGAATTTGAAGGTGGATGAATGCTGTGGAACCAAGATTTGGGGAGTGAGATTATGAGAAACCAAGAACTAGCAGCTGAAGTCCTAGACTAGCATCACTAAACATTTAGAGGATTTCATAAGGTGATAGATCTGGAGATGGAAAGGCAACTAGTCCAAATACCTCAGGATGAGGAACCGAAGCCCAGGGAATGTAAGTGACTTGAGCAAAGTCAGTGGCACAGCTGGGATTTGAATGTGAGTTTTCTAACTTTAAATCCAGACTTCTTTCCACTGTTGCATGGATTTAATTAACAGGGTCCATCAAACACTATAACTATATTATAAAGGTGAACAGTGTTGGGAGAAGTGGAACAGCTGTTGTTGGTTGGTTTTTTGTTTTTTGCTTTCTGTTGTCAGACCCATATGAAGTACAAATGTACATGGGAGTTTGTCAATTGGAAGCAGCTAGGTGAGACAGTACCTAGAGCACTAGAATGGAGGCGTGGAGATCTGACTTCAAATTCTGCCTCAGATGCTTACTAGTTGCGTGACCCTGGGCAAGTCATTTCACTGCTTCCTGTCTCAGTTTCCTTATTTTTAAAATGTGGATAATAATAGCACCTTCCTCCCAGGATTGCTGTGAAATGAAATGATATATTTGTAAAATGATTCACAAACCACTAAGTACAATATAAAGGCTAGCTATTATTATCCTGCTTCAGTAAAAATAACATTGTAGAGCACTTTAAAGTTTATTGTTGTTCAGTTATGCCTGACTGTGACTCTATTTGGGGTTTTCTTGACAGAAATACTGGAGTGATTTGCCATTTCCTTCTCCAGCTTATTTTACAGATGAGGAAATTGAGGCAAACAGGGTTAAATGACTGGCCTAGGATCACACAGCTAGTAAGTGTCAGGAGGCCAGATCTGAACTCAGAAAGATGAGTCTTTCTGAATTCAGGTGCAGCACTCTATCTGATTCACTACCTAGCTGCCTACTTTAAAGTTTACCAAGCCCTTTTCCCAGAGAAGCCCTCTGAGGGAGATTTTTGTCATTATTATTATCTCCATTTTACAGATGTGGAAACTGAGGCTAAGAGGTAAAATGATTTGCCCAATCCCTACTCATTTAAGGGAGGATGAAAAGTCTTACCTGTACATGAAGCCAGTTTTACACTGTTGCTCATGTATCACTTATCCTCCCATCTACCCAGCTGCTTAGCTTGTCTACCTATTTATTATTAGTCCTGTACTCTGCCTGGGTATAGATGTGCTTCCAAGTAAGTGCTTGTAGGTATGGGGAAAGTAGACACTCCTCCCTGGTTACTCCCTGGAGGATGACATCAGCACACGCCCCTGCAACGATGGGGCAGAAACACTTCTTCCTTCTACAATCTAGATAGAAAAAATCTACCACCTGAGGCATGGAGGTGGGGGAAGAGGGGGGAGCACCATCAGAAGCACCTGTTGGGTGGTACAGGTGGCAGAAGTCAGAGAGTACTAAGTATTTGATCCATCAGGATAGGGCTCTGTGGTTTTATAGAAGAATTTTCATTGAATTATTTCAGAATGCCTCCTCAGAATTTGGAGCTAATAAAAGCTGCATTTATCAAATACAACAGAACACCCTGTGGGTGGCTAGGTGGCACAGTGAATAGAGCACCAGTCCTGGAGTCAGGAAGATGAATCTTCCTGCGTTCAAACACTTAATAGCCTGGGAAAGTCACTTAACCCTGTTTGCCTCAGTTTCCTCATCTGTAAAATGAGCTGGAGAAGGAGATGGCGAGTTATTCCAGTATCTCTGCCAAGAAAACCCCAAATGGGATCAGGAGTTGGACAGAACTGAAACAACTGAACAACAACATAGAATGTCCCAATCTTATTTTGTTGCTAACCTATTTGTGTTGCATTATAAGTACGCATATACACACACACACACACTCACACACACCCCAAGATTTTGCAGGTACCCATAGGGTAAGTGGAACCTTTAATTGTTATCTATCCAAAGATATACTTTTATCTTTCTATTTTCTTCCTGCTCAATTTTTGGGATGGTTTTTGTTTTATAAACAATAAGCAAGTCTTTTCACCCTCGGGCCTCAGTTTCCTTAATCTGTAAAATAAGGCGGTTGAACTAGTTGTTCCTAAGGTGTCTTCCAGCTCTAAATCTACACCCCCATCATCCTACAAATGCTAAGTTCTAGATTTCTTTGCCAGGTGTCTTTTTTGGAAGCGAAAAGAGGGTTGCCTGTCTTTTTTTTTTTTGTGAGGAAAGGAGAAGGCAAACCCATGAAGAGAAAGATAACCTTAAATAGGATACTATAAACTGACCTCAGTGAGATAAAAATATAGGAAAGTGAACAAACAGGGTGATCAGAGGGGCAGGAAAGGGGTTAATAAGAACTCTACAATAAAGGAGATTTTTAAAAAACCTACTCCTTGTGAGACCTCTAGCAGCAGCCAAATATTTGCATAAAGAGCTGATAAACCTTTCCAGCTTCCTGGTTCATGACATTATGACATGGATCACTTTCAAAGTTTGTACCACCCCCTGTTCTCAGCATCGGCTGATTGCACAACCTTCCTAGAGGCTGAGTATTCTATAGTGGCTGCCGCCTGGAATATCTTCCTGAAACTCAAAACTGTGCTGGTCCCTTTAAAATTTAAAGCTATCAACTGAAACCAGAAGAGAATTAGTACTAAGTTACTAATCCAGCTGGAAAATTCTGAATTCATTTGTCCTTAAATAGGTTAGAAAGAACATACTAATGACTACAGAATATTTTGATGGTGTCACAGCTTTCACAGAAAATAGCAGAACCTACCAAGAGTTGTCACATTTCCCTCCAGTTAATTAACATTTACATTCCTTCTAAACAGCCTCCTCAGCTGAGTACTTTAAGTTCATCAAAATCAGCAGTTTTGTGACTTTTCATGGATATCTCCCCCAGAACCTAGCACTGTGACCTATGAACATTAGGCACTTAATAAATTCTTTTTGAGTGAATGGGTAAAGAGATGGATCAATAGAGAAAAATGTGAATTTTTTTTAACTCTTTAAGAGATAACAGAATTAACAAGGTTTTTTTTCCCTCCCAGTAAAAGTTCACAAGAATTCAAATAATACATTAAGTTTAAGAAAATTCTTTAAAAGGAAGAAGATCAATATTTCAAAAGTCATCAACTTTCTGAAATAAATGAATCCTGTTCATGAAACATTTTCAATCAAACACTTGAATGTAAGAGGCTCTGTTCTGGATTTTCCCCAGCTACTGTGTCCTCATAACCTAAATTGTTTCATTTCTCTTTAAAAAAAGAGTTAGTGATCAGCTATAACCCAAACAGAAGTATTATGGGCTAATATTAGAACTTAAGAGCAGTAAAGTGAGAACTAAATCAAATAACAATCATTGTCCTTAATTCTCTACTATAAAGTTGGAGAGAAAAAAAACATGACTTACCTTATCACAGGGGGAAGACCTGTCACTTATATATCTACCTTTCCCCTTATCAAAACAATTTATTTCATTTTGCTTAATGACTCTATTCTTGATTTGGCAGTTGTCCCGAAGCAGCAGTGTCCAGCTTCCAGAAGCAGTTTCACCTTCTTCTGCAGGTCAGTATAGACAGCATCCCATTCCAGAGTCCACCTCACAGGTCTTTTAATGCTGGATTCGAGGTTAAGTTAGGCACTGCCATTTAACTGGAATTCAACCAATCAGAACTAGAAAAGGGCACAACGAATCCATGTGAGCATGCAACAAGCAAACAAGTGTATATGTTTGTCCCCATTTGGGGACAGTTCAGGCTATGCTTCAGAAACACTTTGTTCTCCCCCATTTATTCCAGATCCTTAGCTAGGAGTAACTAAAGCTAGCTGAGGTATAGCATTGTTTTGGTATTCGCAATCTTGTTATCTTTTTCAGTGTACTAAGGTGAATACAGGACATCCTGAGGCTCTTGGATAATGCTTTTTCAGTTTCTAGCCAACAGGAGCTTGCTTTCTCTCTCTCTCGCTCTCTCTTGCTCTCTCTCTCTTTCTCTCTTCCTACTTCTCCCTCTCCCTCCCTCTCTCTCTTCTCCAGAAGGGAGTTCGAAGAGCTGTAAGTCTCCTCAGCCCAATCCGAATAACTCTATTACATAAACACTCCTACTTATTCCACTTCACATCTAAGATTTGAAGTAGGTCATATATGCAGAAACCTCTGCTCATAATTTCCTGGGTCTGAATGTCACATGAAATAATGTTGACAAATCTCAAAATTAAAAAAAAAAACCCTTGTGTTTTGAGATCAGTTTGATTGACAGCTTAATCCTTTTCAGAGAATTTTAAGATTTATAATTATAATTTGATAAATCCATTTGGGAATAAAAATGTAGCAATTTTTACAGCTTTACAATGTCTTGGCATTTTGTCAAGTTAGCAATTCTTATTCTAATTACACAATTGTAGGAATGCTATGTTCCCTGAGAAAATATTTCCATTTTCATGTTTAGTGACTTCATATAATTAATACCACTTTAGGTTTTCAGGTTCACATTTGAATAAGTATAGAAGTCACTTGATATTTCATATTGTGAATAGGAATGAAAAAAGTGCTAAGGCAATAACTTCAACATTGCCATTGTTTTCTATCGTTAAGACTTTCTTTGAAACCACAGGCAATTCTCTAAGTTATTTTCAGAAATCGGCCTGAGTTCTAAAACTACATACACTGTAACTAGGTCTGTGAGGTTGTTTCTACAAAGGCACAATGGAGGGGAAATTGAAGCTATTCCTTTAAGACACAACCAGATTGGGTGTGTCCATTCATGTTTCCAGCCAAATCCATGATAGGATGAAGGATTCAGAGCTAGACCTTAGAAGTCATCTTGTCTAACCCCTTGATTTTACAGAGGAGGAAACTGAGGGAAAAGGAGGGCTGGGAATAAGCATTTATAGTGCATCAGGAGCTATTACTAAGTGCTTTTTTACTAATCTCATTTAATATTGTCTCATTTGATGCGGGTAATAAGAGGCAGAGCTGAGATTCAAACCCAGATACTTGGACTTTGTATCCTTTCCACTATACAGTGCTGCCTCTCTAGACTGACACCTTTCTAGGATGAGCCCTGACAGTTAAAACAGCTAAAAACAACGAGACTCTTCCTCAGTCTGCTGTTTTTCAGTTCCAGCTGGCCCAACCTGTAAACTTTACAAACACATAGCCAAACCCCACCAGAATCTGCAAATGGCCCCTTGAAATGATAAGTCTCTGTCTCTTCTTTTCTCCTAGCCCCCTATTTGGAGCCAGAGCCTATTTCTCCTGCTCCCAACTATTTTCAGCCCCGACAGTTTTCCAGTTGCGTGTCCTATGAAGAAAACCCCAGTTGCCTTGACCAAGTCTTTGAGTCCTACCTTCCAACAGAGTCGCTCCTGGACCACTCGCTCAGCTCCACACAGGGCATCCCACCGTGTTTCCCAGACAGCTTTCAGGCCACCCCTTTCTGCTTTAACCAAAGCCTGGTAATTTATCTCCATTCTTTCCTTCACTTGATCGATGCTGTCTGTTCAATAATAATGAAATAGTTGGCATCATCTCATGAGAAATCTGCTAAGACTATCAACAAGGAAATCAACAGAGGAAACAAGCAAAGAACCATCTAAAAATCATTTGAGGCAGAAATACACACACACACACACACACACACACACACACTGCGTTTTAGAATCTTGAATGCATACATAATCGCTAGGTTCTCAAGCCTAATCCAGCTGGTTGCATCCCAGTGTAGTGTAGTTAGTATCTAAGTTGAAAGGGGGCATTATAATGAGTATTTAAGGTAATCTTTTTTTTTTTTTACTGTAAACCATAACATGTTGACTAAATGAAGACCAGTGTTATGCATACTAGTTCCTAGGAAACCCAACACAGGCTGATAAGCTCATACTTTCCTCACACTTCCTAGAAATTAAGATCTAGGCTACGTCTACATTAATGATGGAATGGCCTTTTTCCCTGATTTTTTCATCATTGAATTCACTGATTTTGTATTTACTTACTAAATTTTTACTCTTCGTTCCAGCATTATGTAGACATATGTGATGCTCAGCTACTCTCATGGGAGCTGATTTAATTCTGGAAAGACTAGTAGTGAGAATAATGAGATTTTGGTTGGGCTTCTATGACTTATGGAATATCTGATGTTTTAAGATTCAGTGTTTGTAACCTGAGTATAGGGCTATAGGTTTAGATCTGGTATATAGGATCATAGGTTTAGAGCTGGAGAGTACCTTAGAAGTCATCTAATCCAGCCCATCCTTTTACAGAAAAAAACTGAGGTCACACAAGTAAAAAAATATAATCAGCCTCAAAATAGGGTGAGAAATCCTTATCTCAGGCTTTTGGATTCTTTTTGAAGTGTTTTTCAGTTAAAAAAAAAAAAAAAAGAAAGAAACAGTTACTATTTCAAGAACTGAAACCAAAATATTGGCCATGGGAACTTGAAGTTCTGTGTAATCCTGAAATTCATATTGAATTATAAGAGAAATAGCAACTGAATTGTATTGAGTTTGTGTGATCTCTCCAGGAATTGGAAAAAACATGTTATCTGTCACCTTCCATTTTGGAAAGCTGTTGATAACAAACTGCAGACAGCCTGTTAGTCTTCTGAAGATCCTTTTTCATAGCCACAGAGGGCCAAGATTTTGGCTGAGCTAGGATGTGCTTGGCAATTTTTGGTTTTTTCTGAGCATTTCCTGAGGGGGGAGCTAAATACTACTCCCCCAAGGGGTCATTGTATCTGCCATCTAATCCCCCAGGAGTTTGAAAGATGACTAGTCAGGGAAATGGCACTCTCTGTGCATCAAGTATTCCGAGAATATCCAGGAAGCCATCAGCAGTATATGCAACTCACTGCCTGGCAGAACTGAGACTTCATTCTGCAGGTGAACTGAAACATGATGGGGGTTTGTGGTTAAAGAACAAAGTGTCACATGAAACACAGTCACAACAAAGGAAGCCAGTGAAGCAGAAGTTATCTGGAAACCAATTCTTTGTCAGGAGTGGAACAAATAAATTTGGAATATGATGTAATGAAAGTATATAGTTAACAAGGAAAAATTTTTTTGTGTGTGATTTGTATCCCCTCCTTCCCTTTCCCAGATTTTTTTTTTGTTTTCTGAGCTATATAAAGCCCACTGTGGTCAATCTCTTTCATACTGGCTAAGTTAAAAAGTGTTTTGTTCCCTGGGCTCTTATATTTCTCCAGGCACCAGGATCACCCTCAGATTCATCAACTCTGTCCAGCCCTCTGGAATACAGTTACTCCCCACCTCAGCAGCCATCATTGACTCCAGTGACTTACAACTCTCCTTCCTCCCTGGACACCAGGAACTGTGGGTTTCCCCCAGAAGAGTACCCCTACCATCATTTCCACTCTCACCCCCAATACAGCTGTTGCTCCTCTTCCTCCTCTTCCTCTGTCTGTTACTGCACATCATGTGAGACGGAGCACCTGGATACCATCAAAGTATCAGAGTACTTCTCGTATCCAGATACAGACTGTATAGACTATTCCCATTCTCTGCCGACAGCTGTGGCTGATGATTTTTATAGACGGGAAGCAGATTGTGACATCTGCTACAGTTAGTGGGAATGCGATTTCTTTGGAGTATTGTACGTGTATATTTTGCTACTGAAGTTAGGTAACACCTCAAAAAATGCTGTCTAGAAATGAATGTCGCAGAGCACAGTTTACACCTTCACTACACTTTTTTAAATTTTTTTTAAATATCCTGATGTTAACTTAGTCATTGATAATAAGCCTGCTTAATCCTGCCATAGTCACACTCCTGCCTTGTACACTTACAGTTAAGATTCCTTAAAGAAAAACTTTCACTTGTTTGTTTTACTCTCCTATATAACATATTTTCATTTTTTTAACTAATAAATAATTTTTTTATTGTTAGATAGTACATGTTTGTTGCTCTCAGAATTAGTGGTTCCCATCTCCAGTGGAGACCTCCTATAGGACCTCCTTGTGGCATAGAGTTGACCCTCACCCCTAAAGGCTATGCTCACATTTGGAAAGACTTTATATTCATATTTACATTTATATTTACAGCAGGGACAAACTATGCTTTTAGGACCCCACCTACCTAATTTTGGAGAGACTTATAATCAAAAGATTCACCAATGGGCAGTGACTGTTTAGTGAACACAATTCTTGAAATTACATACCAAGGTGGAGAAGCACTGGATGATTTTGTATGGGTTAATCCATGATTTCTTCCTGGGGAACTCTCCACGTGAAGTTTATCGACCCAGTCAGATAGGCAAATGATCTATAATTGAGAGCCTTAGAGAAGCCAGAGGCATTATGGGCTTAATAATAGATTCGCTCAGGGTCAGACACCTGTGATATGGGTGAGAGACAGACCTGAACACAGATCTTCTGATTCCAAGACTGTTTCTCTTTCCACACTCAAATCCAGTTCACTTGCAAGTCAAGACATTACCTTAGTGATTGGTCCTCAAGGTTCAAAAAAAAGGACAAACAACAATAACAACAACTATGTCAATTCTCATAGAGGTCTTAATGGAGGGAAAACCCACATCAATGAAAAACATAGCTCTTTGACATAGTCAAGTGATATTTTTCAGCATGGATTGAATACACTAAACCAAAGCCACAGTAGCTCAATTATATTCCTTAAAAAAACTGAATTGGCTTATTGTGCTCCAATGAGAAAGTAGCCATAGCAGCAGATGGAGAATTAGTGAAGTTTAGCCCTACTTTTAATTAATAGTAATTCCTTACATTCAAAAAGGGATTTGTAGTTCAGAAACTCTTTTACATATAAGAACTCACTTAGGTCCTCACAACAACCCTGAGAAGAGTAGGTAGAGTAGCTAATCTCACCCATTTTACAGATGAGTGAACTGAGGCTTAGGAAGGTCAAAAGATGCTCAAGGACATAGGGCATAAAAGCACTGAATCCAGCCTTTGAGTCCCTCACTCTACGTGACAATGCGTCTGTGTGAGTGTATTTTCATTTAGAGGAGAAAATAAAGCAGTGTCCCTTCAAGTCCTACTCTGATGCCTCCTTATAGTGTGGAAAACCACCTGATTTTCTCAAGCTTGTGTCAGAAGAACACAAGCTCTGGTAGATCCAACAGGTTGGAAAGTCTTGAATGTATTTAACTCTATGCAAACAGTACTCCAAAATAATTCCATTTCCACTAGTATTATTTAAATGTAGGTAGAACTTCACTGAAGTGAAGAGTAGAAAATTATGCATTCATTTCCCAAGATGGCCTGTATGCTTGCTGTCTGATGAAGGAAACAGGCATTTTAGTGCCTACTATGTGCCAGGAATGATTCTAATCACTTTACAAATATTACTTCCTTTGATCCTTACAACAATCCTAGGAGGTAGGTGTTATTATATCTCCATTTTATAGTTAGGGAAACAGAGACAGACAGAAGCTAAGTGTCTTGCCCACGGACACATAGCTAGTGTCTGAAGCCTGATTTGAACTCCCATCTTCCTGACTTCAAGCCCAGCACCACCCACTGCACCACCTCTTCTAGGACTAATCAAGGCTTAGTGAGGCTCATCTCCAGGCTGAAGAATTTTTCAGCCAATCATATAAGTAAGCATATATTAAGAACCTACTATGTGCCAGGCACTGTATTAGGCATTGGGAATACAAAGAGGGGGGAAGACAGCCCTATCCTGAGGTAGCTTACCATCCATCTAGGGGAGACAACAAGTACATATGTATTTGAAGAGGACCAAAATGACATCACTATGTTGAGGTTAAGGTATAGTGTGTCCAACTGTGGCTGGTCAGACCGATATGAGCTCAGAAAGCTGTACCACAAGTTGGGCACAGAGTCCACATGGAAAATTTGCAGTGGAGATGTCTCTAAATTTGTGCATCTCACATTTCTTTTAAGCCATTGCAATTCTTCTTCCTGAATAGAACACAGTGCCTTCTTTGAGGCAGGTTTGCCATGCTGGATGGTGCTGGGCCAGTGTCCCCCATATCACCCAATCAATTCCAGAGTTCTCCAGAGAGACCTTCAGAGTGTCTTTGTATCACTTCTTCTGAATATGAACAGTAGATACAAGGTAATTTTGAGGGGAAAGAATTACCTATTGGCTGAGGACATCAGAAAAGGCTTTGTGTAGAAGGAGGTAGAGCTTGAGTTGTCCCATAAAGGAAACTGATTCTAAGACAAGAAAGTATATTCTAGGCATGGTTTGAAAGGCTTTAAATTCTAAGCAGAGTTTATTGCAACTCTTGAAGACCCTCTGAATCAGAGGTTCTTAGGGGCAGCTAGATAGTGCAGTGGATAGAGCGCCAGCCCTGAAGTCAGGAGGACCTGAGTTCAAATCCAGCCTCAGACCAAACACTTGACACTTAGTAGCTGTATAACCCCAGGCAAGTCACTTAACCCCAATTTCCAAAAAGAAAAATCAGAGGTTCTTAAAGTGTAATCTAGGGGTCCTTGAGGGTCCTGAAGACCCTTTCAGAGAGTCTGTATAATCAAAGCTATTTTCATAATAATACTAAAGTACTTTCATTTCTAATATGGTAAATGATGATAGATAACACCAAAAGCTCTTTGGAGGGGTCCTCAATAGTTTTTAAGAGTGTAAAGGATTCTAAGAACAAAAAGTTTGAGAACTTCTGTTCTAAGTAGTGAGGGGTAGCAGTTCATATTGAAGAAGGGGTGACCCAGACCAATAAAATCATGTGTTAAAAGGAATAGAGTGGTAGCAGGCATCTAGGACACTGGTGAAGCCTAACCAGGTAATTCATGTAATTGTTCACCTACCCTCGTTCAGGTTACAATGTTAGTAGAAAGCCAGATTCAACTTCAATGAATCTGTAATTTAAGCTGTCCCTCTACCAGACTATATTGTAACCCAATGAGACTTGTTCATCCTTATTCATTAAAAAATAAAAAACTCTTTAGAGAATTGACCCAACATGATGGATGCCTTCTTCTGGGTCTTTTGGCATTCTGTAAGTACTGGTACATTATATCTCTTATCCTTCCTCTTCTTATGTGACTGGCCTGCCCCCTTTTCCGAGCACTCATTTCCCAGATGATACTTTTTCCACCACTTCTTGCATGGGAATCCTCATTTACTACATACTGCAGTCTAGTCAGCCACACCAGACAACATTGCCCCTTGGTCACCTGGGATTTTTATTCCATTTTTGATTTGTTATTATTTAAAACAACAACAACAATACTTGACTGAGTAAGGCAAAAATGCAGCCTTAGGAAATGAGGCATCTGCCATGAATATGTAAAGACAATTCAAGTTTCCTTGATAGATGGAACCATAGATATAGCTTCCTTTAACTATGCTCTGATTATCATTATCAATTGAAACACAAAAAAAGAAGAAGACTGCTCACCAAAAAAAGTCATAGGGGAATCCTAGATCTAGTGCTAGCAAGAACCTCAACAACCATTTGGCCCAGGCCCATCATTTTGCACATTGAGGAATCCAAGACCTGCAGAGGAGAAATTACTTGTCCAAGATCACACAGGTAGCACATGCTGAGGCAGGATTTAAAGGACAGTGAAAAGCCATGGCTGTTGTAGGTGTTTTTTTTTCCCACTCCTGATATTTTTTCCTGCTTAGAACTGCTTGACTTTTTCTTTCTAGGTGGGTTGCTGCATGACAGACACATCCCTATACCTAGAATAGGAGGGTCATTGACAGTTTATCTTTGTTCCCTGGGCTTTTCTATTCTGGGTACTTTTTTGATCATTAATGTGCCATTCAAACATATATCACTGGAACTCCTTGACTGATTCATAGTCATTTCATTTACAAGTGAACTCGTGGCTTGCTTCCTCAAGTAATGAATCTATTTGAGGAAGCCCAGCTGCCTCTTAAGGTGAAGAGAACTTGCTTGAGCTACCCCAGAATACCCATTCCTCCAAGAACTAGAGAGCCAGGGATAGCTATCTGCCTTAGACAGAACAGATAGAAGACTGAACCTGGAGTCAAGAAGTTGCCATTCAGTCATTTTCAGTCATGTCTGACTCTTCGTGACCCTATTTGGGTTTTCTTGGCAAAGATACTGGAATGGTTTGCCATTGCCTTCTCCAGCTCATTTTACAGATGAGGAAACTGAGGCATCAAAATGTTAAGTGACTTGCCCAGGGTCACACAGTTAGTTAAATGTCTAAGGCAAGATTTGAAATCAGTACTTTCTGACTCTGAGTCCAACACTCTATCCACTGGGCCACATGAATACACGTGACCAGGAATCTAGTAGGTGATGAATCTGAGTTTCTGGATGCTGAGCAAATGTTGAATGTCCCAAGGAAGGCTGTTTAAGAAACCTTTGGAATCTCTCTCTACATTTGCCTAGTTTTCCTCATGCAATATAAGCAGTCTGTCTTCATTATTGTAACATAGATTTCAAGTGGGAAGGGAACTTAGAAGTCATCTAATCCAGTCCCCTCATTCACACAGATGGGATTCTGAGATACAAGTGATTTGTCCAAGGTCACCCTAAAAATAAAAAATGGTAGAACTGGGATTTGAACCCAAACCCTGGGCTATTACTGTAGAGGGCTAATGGCGTTATGGGGAAGACATTGAATTTGGAGGCAGAAAATTCGAATTTGGGTCCCACTGCTGTTCTTTCTAGTCACATAACCCAGGAGCAAGTTGTTTACCCTCTTCAAAGCCTCAGTTTCTCCATCAGTAAAGTGGTGATACTATTTGCACTTACCCACCTCACAGTGTTGCTGTGAGATCAGCACAATAGCTCAAGAGCAAATGAGATCATAGGATGAAGATAAGGAAAGAAGAACCTTAGAGATCATCTAATTCAGCCGCCTCATTTCACAGATGAGGAATCTGGTCTCCAGAAAGGT